AAATCTGAGGGTTTATGCTTCATATCCCTTGCTGCTAAAACGTGTTCCACTCTTTGGTGCCATGGGTGAACTATAAGAGTGATGGCCCAATCTCCCTTGCTGCTAAAACGTGTTCCACTCTTTGGTGCCATGGGTGAACTATAAGAGTGATGGCCCAATCTCCCTTGCTGCTAAAACGTGTTCCACTCTTTGGTGCCATGGGTGAACTATAAGAGTGATGGCCCAATCTCACTATTCCATCAAGCAAAAGTAGCCCTACAGAAGGCAGCAGATGCTGTTTATTAGCTGACTATATTCTGTTAGTTCCTGAGATAACTATGTACAGATATCCCTTTTGTACCTTTGGGCAAATATTCTTTAATGTCTAATGTGATGAATATTTTTTAATTTTCATTGTTGGATACTGTTCTTGTTTCACTGGCATTTTCTGCAGTGTAAAGTTAGAACTTTCAATGGACTGCTCCTACTTTGTTTCTTGAGAAGGCCTGAGGATAGAGCCTGAAACATTTTTCTCAAGAAATGAGGGGGAGGAGTCACTTGATGAGAGCAGTTTGTTCAAAATGTAATTGATACTTCAAAAACAAAATTAGAAACAAATAAATTCTGGGCTTTACAAGATTATTGAGATAACTCAAAACTTTTGCCATTGAAATGACAACTGAAACTTTGGGCATTGTATATTGGAATTTTTTAGTTCAGTAAAGCATTTGAATCCTGTCTAGTCTGAGTATTTTGTTTTTTTAGTTGAATTCTAACTAAACATTTCAATAGTTTCTAGAAACTAAATTATGAATTATAGTATCACTGACTGAAAGCTTGATTAGTTCTGACTATATTAGTGCATTTTTAGCTGAAACAGATACTTGTTATATTTGTTATTAGTTTTATTTTTACAAATATTCTTTATGTGAAACATATTTTTACAGTTCCATATGATCTTTCATTTAATATGCTTTAATTCGTGAAAACTCCAAATTCTTACTTATTTCTGCTCGGGCCATATTTTTGGATTAGAAATTTTTAAAGGCTTATTTGTTTTATTTTCAGTGGTTTTGTATTATAAAAGAAAAGTTGTAATTTAACAGAAATAAGTTAGTTTGAATTATGTTATTGAAGTAAATAGTAGTGTTTAATATTTTAGTATAATTTGATTTGTATTAGTAATTAATTTCTGATCATTCAGATTCTTAACAGTGATTTGTTTTTGCTGTCTTTCAGATTTTGTTTACTAGATGCCTTTATGCTCAGCTTCTCCAGCAAAAATACCAGCCAGACAGACTTGTTGGATGGAATTTGCCACCACAGAATAGCCCTCAGTTTAAAGCTCATGACTTGGGCATGAAATTGGTATAGTGAAAGTATATGTTTCTCCAAGTGAAATAGTTATAAATGTTATTTTATAAAGAAAATATAAAATTGCTTTATCATGTAATATATATTCCCTCAATATGTCTATTCATACAAGTTCTTATATTATTTCATATATTATGATAAAATTTAGAGCAAAAGGTTTGATGGAAACAGAAAGTCAAGAATTAGCTAGAGGTTACTTTGGTTTAAGGCTTTAAAGAGGAGCAAGAATAGGAGCCTGTGGTGTTGCAAGTTTATGTTGAAATGTTCCAATTATTATGATGGTGATGTTTACCTGGGCTATTGCTCTTTCTGTGAGATGTGGTAATAATTACATGTAGATTTTTGGTGACTGTGATCAATTTTCAAGATTAGAAATATTTGGAATCATCTGTAACATGCGCTAGTGGGTGGGGTCAGGGAGGCTGGGTCCCTGAAATATCCTTGCCTCCCTCAGAGAATTTTTTTTAAGTTAGTACGTAATATTGACTTTTGATCCACAATTGTATGTTTGAGTAGTACAATTGTTTATTAAGTGTGTAAAAAATTAAGTTTTGATAACAGCAAATGGTTATAATTAGTCTATTTTTTTCACAATAAAACAATACATTTTTAACTTATGTAAATCTTCTCTTCTTAATGTAAGTAGTCTTAAGTAGAGAAGATACATTAGCTATTCATGTATTGAAACATAACCTTGAAAGATGGATGTAGTTTGGCAATTATTAGTTTGTTTGGTTTGTATTTAATGTATGTAAAAACACTCATGGTATTCGTTTTTGCTTATCATTTTAAGGCTTGTGGGTTTGAAATCCTTGTAGCTGGTGCCAAAAAAACACTTGATGAACCAGGAAGTCAGCTGGAAACTGTAGATTTTTCTAATGATCCTAGGTGGTCTAAATTTATTCAGAATTTAAAAAAGAATGGATATTTCAGGGTAAGTCATTTTACCATGATTCGTTGAGTTGTGGATATTTATAGAGTATACAACCCTTTAATGCAAAAACTCATAAAGCAGAAGTCCACAAAAAACAACTATATGTCCTTTATGATTCTTAAGAGCTCCCCCAGTGGAGTCTGGAGCAGAGTCCTAAAATCTGAACCCTGATTTAAAGAGGCAAACCTAGATCTCTCTCTCTCTTTAATTATAAAATGAAACAAAGAAAATGATTTAATGACATCCATTACAAATATCATGAACTGATTGTTTAACAAAGTATTAAGTATTTGAAATTAGTTTAGATTCCAATATCACATATAATTGGAAAATAAACATTAAATTTTGGAATTTGGTCTAAATATATATTTTAATGTTTCCAAATTTTTATAATGTTTAGAAAAAACACATAAACAAACTGTGCTTCTTGCTCAAAATTCTCCATCATCAGAAACTGATTTGTGCAAGATACCTGAAATACATTATGAACATCAGCATTTAAATTCTAAAATAACCAGAAATATAACAGTGAATTTTAATTCCACAGTCTACTGTAGCTTGTAGATGACACTTTGCTGTAGAATCAGTTTCACATTTTGTATTTCAATCACTGTTACTATTTAAATGCAAACGTATGTAGACACATTAATGTGTACTAAAACTAAAGGGTCTTCAATGTCTTGAGTGTTTTTCTTTTATTAAAGCTACGAAACTGTAGACACAAGAAAAATTACCCTTGAAATGTTGAATCCTGACAAAATGTATTGCCAAATAAAAGTTAAACAGGTATCATATATGGGTAGGAGTTACAAAATACGGAAGAACAAATTTTTCTTTAATGCACTAATTTTCTGGTACAGCACCCTGTAAGTAATATTTGCTGTATTAGTTTTAACCTTCATAAACTGTGAGATTAAGTCATTTTTTTTTCCTGAAGTTTAGTGTGTCAATGACTACATAATGATACTGCAACTTCCTTTGCAGGGTTTGTTTAATGATCTTTGTTGATAGAATAATAAATGAATGCTGGAAAGTTCTCAACAATATTAATAGGAAAACTCATTAAATTATGTATAGTGCTAAATGTTTCTCTACATTCAGTATACAACCTATATTGGTAATTAGGCCTTAATAGCATTAGAGCACATTACAAGTTATGGAGTCTGATGGCCAGTAAAATTGCCAAGAAGTTTAATGATTCTTAATCAAGGCATAAAATAACTAACTACACTGCAAAAATGTAGAACGTTTTTTGTTATTTTAAAAAGTCAAAAAGCAATGCACTTGGGATAAAATAGATCCTATTGTTCTGGGTGTGAAGCCTTTATGACTACAAGCTATGGAGCCACTGAAAAATTAAATTACTCCTAACTCAGTATTAGTCAATCATAAAATGTTAATGATTATCTTAAGGTATTGAATGGTGGTTTGTATTTATGCAACATTTTACATTGCATTAGATACTATCAGGAAATTAAAGTAAAGAAATGTTTGTACTAGGCCTAGAACGTTATTAAATAACCATGAGCAACATTCATACAGGTTGCTGTAGACATGCTTAAATGTAGCAGTGTGCCATTAGTTTATGTTTCTAAAGCTTCACGTGTGATACTTCATATTATTTTGGCAGTTTTTAAAGGGATGCATGTAGTTAAGTGAGACAGGAGATTACATGCATTGTTAGCTACAGTATGCAGTTAACACAATATATGGATGAAGAAATATCATTTCTTTTGATTGTAGACCTTCTTGTATTGAAAAATTCTACCAGTCAATTGGACATTATTATAAGTATGCTAGATCTCTACCATACATATTAACAGTTATAGGCTAACTTTACTAACAATTGGCAATGAGAAGCAAAGACCTGGGACATGCATTTTTTTAATGCAAAATATTTGATGACTGTGATAGAATTTTAATTGTTATATTTTTTATATGAGTTGATGGATAGATATCCAGTATTCATAAAGTTATATCTTCCATTAAAATACTGAAGCTTAGTCTTTTTCTTGAGAGTTGCCCTTGTCCAACGTTACTTCTGATGAGGAGTTGAATTCTTTAGGCCTGGCATAACTCCATGACAGTAAAATTTGAATCATATTATTCTCAACATTTATGAGATACTCTTGTACATTCATCTTGTAAATTGGTTCACTGAGAATAGAGTTGCAGTAGGTTTATCATTTTATAAGCATCTAGATTATGAATAGCTTAAAGTAAGAACTGCAAAGTACTTTTTTTTAATAGTATATCAAACTGGTATTAAATAGAGTTTGATATGATTTTTGTAGGTATATTGCAATTGATAAGTTTCATTAATGGTATTACATTTGTGACCAGGGAGAGCTGGAGGGTTCCAGATTGTATAAACAACTTCTACAACAGGCCCAAGCATTCTATAGTAGCACATTAGGGAATTCAGAAGACATGTGTAGTTCAACTTCTGGAAAGATTCTTCAACTTTTAAACCAGCTTGATATTGACTTAGACAAACTAAAAGAAGAAGAAGGACAACTAAACCCTCCAGATGGTAATTATAAAGCATTTGTATATGCTAAGAGAGACAAAAGACTTTGCCTCCAACAACTTTAAGTTTACTGTAACTCTTCAACATCCTTTCTGGAAATAATGTTAATGTTCATATGTATTGATAACATAGTAGTCTGAAAATTATAAGGGTATTAGAAATGTTATATAAAAAATAAGAACTGATGAAAAATGTATAGAAAAAAGTGTTTCTTATAAATATTTCTTATTTGGGGAATATTTAATCTATTCTTATTAATGATAAATTTATCGAGTGAATTTTGCATGCTTTTATCTAAAAAAGGATAGTTTCTGTTAAAAAAAGAATTATTAGAAAATGTCACAGATTTGAATTTTTTTTCGATACTAAAGCATGTGGAACTTTAATGAATCCCACTGTATAAGAATGATTTGCATATGCTAATGCAGTTGAGTGTTGTTGCAATGTGAGTTTTGCAACTAAAAACATGCAAGTACGTGCTTGCTTCACAGGTGGTACTGCACTGTTGGACAATTGGGAATTCACAACAGTGCAGTACCATCTCAATAGTCTTGTAACTAAAGGATATATCACAGCAAAGCAACAGAGTTGCAAACTCAGAATATATCAGTCTTCAAAGATGGTCTAACATAGTGAATGGTATGAGCAAGGAAGGATCAGGATACTCATAAGAGCATGTAAAACCATCTAAACAGGATCCTACAATACAAAGAACCACCACTATAATTGCCGAAGTTTGCAGACTGTTCATTGAGAACCCCCACACACACATACAAACATGCTCAGAAAGTGATTACACATATCTAAATTAACTACACATACACAAGATGACTCATTCAGATCTTGCCTTCTAAATAAAATAAACTGTGAGTATACACACTGATTCTCGGGCACATTGATGAAAAAAGTACAAACTGCAGGAAACATTATAAAAAATAACCTGCATATGAGATGTAAAAGTTTGTTGTAAGATTGAACAAAACTTAGGTGTAAGAATTGAGCAATTTGCTACTGACTTTGAAGTTATAAGGACTTTCTAACTTGGTACAAAGAATATAAAGAAGGTTTTTTGGTTTTAATCAAATTTGATGGTTACCACAGACTTCTCATGTAATAAGAAATTCAAACTTTCTAAACTGCACAGTAAAGTAAAGATGAACTGTTAGGAAAAAGCATTGTGCAAAATTAAATTCTTGTACTGTATGGTAAGGTAAGGCTACTAAGTTTATATCAACATTTCTGCATACTTTGGGGAACGAAACTAGTGTTCATTCCTTTTGTTCTCTGATATTTCTGTGAAATCACATGATTTCATATCCATGGATGTACTTGTGTGTATTTGATTTGCTTAAATATAGTTTTGGAACCTGAACTTTACGTTCAGTGGAGGGTCTGTGAAAAATTTGTCAAGGTATGTGGGCAAAAAGTTTGTATAGATATTTCAGTAGTAATTAATGATAGCCATTAGATTTAAACAAGCTTGTTATTGACTTAGACAAACTAAAAGAAGAAGAAGGACAACTAAACCCTCCAGATGGTAATTATAAAGCATTTGTATATGCTAATAGAGACAAAAGACTTTGCCCCCAACAACATGAAGTTTACTGTAACTCTTCAATATCTTTTCTGGAAAGAATCCCACTCATGTCGGGTTTTTTTCAGAAATGAGCTCAAAGAAAGTCAGGTTTTTTATTTCACTTTCTTTTATGATCTGTTATATTTCTGCAAATAAAATAAACTTGATAAATAAATGTTACATACCTGGATATATACTTGATATATATATAA